GCCTCGAGAGACGTCGTCTGGGTCCAATGACTGTCGACTGTGAACACTGCCGGTTACAGGGCGACGCCTACGCACACGAGGGCTAACGTGTTGTGTCCCCAGAGTATGTAGATAAACAGGACTCATTATTTTGGGGTTTCATAAAAAGTCAAATCTATATTAAAATCTAAATATACATGTATTTATTTTCAACATGAATAATAACCTGTGCTGAACTCTGTCCTCTGGCAGTGAGATATAACTTTTTGATGTCTGAGCTCAAAGACAGCCTGCCCCCTGACCTCTGCCCTCAGCGCCGGAGTGGCCCTCGTCTCTCCTCGTTACGCATCATCCGGAGACGGCCGGCTGTGATGTTGACAGATTGGATGTCCGAGCACATCACAGCAGATTAGACAAGATGTAAATAGTGGAACTTAGATAACATGGTACATGCTGGATCAAGGCCAGATGACTGTGTCATGTGCCACAGAACCTTCAGGAATTGACACCGTTTGATCTGTTCCTCTAAAAACAAGTTTATAAATATGCTGTTGTGCCTATTTAGTTGTATATCACAGCCAGACAAAAGACTGCTGAACTTCTTGGTAACCACAGACAAGCAACACTACTCTCGTTGGCCTCTTGTGCTAACAAATGACCCAAAGAAAGGTGCTTCCTAGGATTTTATTGTAGAAGTCAGTCCAGTCAGTTCGTATGTTCCTCCTCAGTGAGACTTGTCCTCACAGAATACAAGATAACTCACCTTTTGGTTCCTGGGAACATTGGCGACCTGGCGTCTTTTTTCTTAATGAACTCAATGATTTTGAGTTCTCTCTTAGCAGGAAGTTCAGGGGCCGATGGGAAGAGTGCTCGTTGTAGCGCGGCCTCAGAGACGGGCCAGCTGAGCAACTCTGACACACGGAGACTAGGTGTGGTCGTGTGGGAGTGAAGGATTTTAGGAATGGTAAAGGGAAGGTCATTTTGTGAAAGTGATCAAGGCAAAGAGGATTTACAGGGATAATGGAAAGAAAGAAAAACAGCAAGTGAGCATGCAAACACGGAAAGTGAAAAGAATAAAAAATCAATAAACTCAAAATCATATCATGGAGGGGGCGGGTAGCTCACATATTGTACCACATATGTGCCCATTAGTCATTTATTTTCCATCATTTAGTTTTGACAATGAAAAATCTTAAGTTGTGTTCCCATCATAGTCTGTTACCACGGAGACAGTGAAGAACAGCTGATGTGTACCTGTTCCCATGGACATGTGAGGCACAGAAGGCGAAGCTGTAGTGCAGCAGGGTGGGGTCGATCATGGCCCCGTTCTCCGCCCGCACCAGCAGGTCGCTCAGGTAACAGAGATGCCGATGGCAGCCTCGGACGCCGTAGCGAGCGCAGTACTCATCTAGGACGAAGACCTGACCGGGACTGAACCAGCCCTGTGGGTCACACACACACACACACACACACACACACACACACACACACACACACACACACACACACACACACACACACACACACACACACACACACACACACACACACAATAAAATAAAACACATCATATATATTATTCTGAAACAGACCAATCTGCACAACGACTAGTACTTTTTTTAACATATATGTAACACTAAGCTGTCTGTGGCGCTTTCCTGCTGTAACGATGCACATTTCCCCTCTGTTGGACTAATAAAGGGATTCTGATTCTGATCTCACTACTTTTAATCTGGTACTTCTACCTTTACTGAATTACAAGATCTGAGAACTTCTCCTACCTCTGGTATGAAGGGAATCTATGCCATGCTTCATTCAGCCCACGTTGACAACTGGACTGTGTGTGCAGTGTGTGTGTATTCTAATGTACAGACATTACATCCATGTTCCACAAAGATTCCCAACAATTGTTATTACTTTGCAAAAACGCAATCCAACAACCCTGACCTTTGTGGGCAGTCATTAGTCAGGTATGTGTGTTCTCTCAGCTGTGATGGACAGAACCTACCAGGCAGGAGTAGGAGTCGTTGAGCCTGTGGTCCAGAGTGAGGCGCTGCACCAGCTCAAACAGAGAGCCGTGGTCGAAGTTACAGGGGTTGGCTGAAATGAACTCATCCATGCCGTGCTTCTGTGCCCGATCAGCATCTGTACACATTTAGCCAGCCGATGAGGAGAGACACAGAGGGTGGGGGTCATTGCTGGCAGAAAATCAAGAATAAAGTCCAGTACTTGCTTTCAACTAACCTAATACAGTTATTTGAGATCTGTTGACATAATACATTTAGTTCAAATCAACGGTTCAGTTTTTTCAGAGGGTGACCTGGGAGTGGACGGTCAGTTCTGAGGTCAGGGGTGAGTCATGTTGGATGACAAAGGCTACAACTTTAAATATTGCTCCTTCCTTGTTAAACAGTATATTCCATTGATGCTAACAGAGCAGTTATATGCACATTAACCCTGAAACTCAAGAGTGACCGAGGTCCTGAACCGCCTCACTCATAATACAATCTAAAAGCCGCCCCACAACACACAATACCCTCGCCCATTTCTAATGCCACTTCACTGCGGTGTCAGTGGCCCCAGGCCCCTGGTGTGGCCCATAATTAATCCATGTGTTGAGCATCTCAGAATGAGCAGAGGATGTGGGGGCCCCACACTAATCTTTATTGTGTAGAAAATAGCTGGCTTAATATAATTTAGGCAACAGGTTTCTCTGATTTCTTGGTGGCTGATATACTCTAATCAGGGTGCTTAGGGAGGGTTAGGAAGTTTTTTTTAAATTTTGGCATGGTTACTGGGAGCCGAAAATCCATGCAAACCTTCAGGCTGGCTCTAATATTCTTTTCTGGGAAACAAAGGGGGGGTTGGTGCACCTGGTCTGTTTCCACTTTCTAGGATTTGGGATTTACATGTCAATATGTTAGAACATCCTATATAATGACATGTTAATATGCTTATTGCTCTTGCCCAACAACAAAAGCTGTGTTTTGGGTTCGACACTAAAGACAAGGTATTGTGTTTTGTCATAGCAAGGTAACCCTACACCACATACTAGTCTGCTTATATTATATGTAATCAGACTGCTAGTATTAAGAAACATCAGTACTGAGAGATTAGACTGTTTCAGAAGAAGTGAGGGATGAATAGAACTGAAAACTCATTGCATTTCATGTCAAATTAAAAAAAGATGTAAAGATGTAACAACAGAAAGAGTGTTTTTCAAAAATAAATATTTTATATAAGTGTTCAAATCTATTTCTCCCAAACAATCAAATATTTTATTTTTGAATGACTGCACAGCTTATTATAGATTCCTATAATCTTTGATCTTGGTGTGGACAGAGTGTCCCGTCAGACCTGGGACAGACCTGGATAGACCTGGGACAGACCGGGACAGACCTGGGACAGAACTGGGACAGAACTGGGACAGACCTGGTACAGACCGGGACAGACCTGGGACAGACCTGGATAGACCTAGGACAGACTGGGACAGACCTGGGACAGACCTGGATAGACCTGCTACAGACCTGGATAGACCTGGATAGACCTGGATAGATCTGGTACAGACCTGGGACAGACCTGGATAGACCTGGTACAGACCTGGGACAGACCTGGACAGACCTGGAACAGACCTGGGACAGACCTGGATAGACCTGGGACAGACCTGGGACAGACCTGGGACAGACCTGGATAGACCTGGTACAGACCTGGGACAGACCTGGATAGACCTGGTACAGACCTGGGACAGACCTGGGACAGACTGGGACAGACCTGGGCTAGACCTGGGACAGACTGGGAGAGACCTGGACAGACCTGGAACAGATGGTTGAAGGTAACACTGAGATACACAGTCCTCTTCACTGCCCAACGAAGGGACCCCAGCTATCAATCAACAAAACAAACAAAGAGCGGGATGCTGGGAGCTGATTGTGTCCCCTCAACAAGTCCCCCCCACCCTCCCCCAAAAATCTAAAAAGGTGACATTGCGGTGCCCCTTTGGTCTGTGACTGGTGGCCTGTCAGCTGTGTTTGATGTGAGTGAGCGGGAGTGGAGGCGGGAGCTGGACAGTAACATGCAGTGACACCAGTCACACCCGTCCGTCTGGGCTGGGGAGGGACGGCCCTGACAATGATTGATGGCCGCTATTCTTTACAGATCCAGAGGAGAGGAACCACTGCTGGTCCTGGTTGTGATGGTCAAAAGCATTCAGGGCGATTTAGCACGTGGCTTGCTTTTCCGTGGACTGACCATGAAACTCATCTTTCTGTTAAAACAGTGAAGATCCTCACTGAGGCCCAACACTCACCTCTGTAACACGCTGCACACCTACAGTTATCACGAGTCAAAGCTTCTCACAGATTTTCAAGCTAAACACAACAAAGAGGACATCAGCAGTGAGTGGTGATATCTGTGTGAGATGTTCTCTTGGCTTAGTTTGAAGGAGCAGCTGAAAGACTATAAAGAGCTGGACTAATAGGAAGGGCTAAATACAGCCTAATCAATGAAAGAGGTTACAATTATATTTGTGTTACTTACTACCTGTTCTGCAATCAGTAACAGATAATCCCACAAATTAGCACACCTTTTCATTTGAACACACAATACCAAAGGAGATGAATAGCATCTACGAAATGTCTCCAAAGTTCAAAATTATGATAGTAACAAGTACAACTTTTCTAGGCTATGACCTTCAGTCCTTCTATTCATTAACAAAGTGTTAATAATCAGGGAAGGGAAACTGTCACTTAAATATATATATATATATTTCTATGTATTGCTGTCATTGGAGACTGAATTGCTTTGGCTAGTATGTTTAAAGGAACACTTGATACTTATCATGTTTACTTCAACATTAATCAAACTTTAATTTAATTGTTGTTTTGAAACAAAAGTCAGTCCAGTCAATGGCTTCAATATGTATGATCCCATGTAGTTACAGTATCATTATAATCTTGTTATTACAGCATAACATATGTCAAAACTCATTACACTATCAATCATCATAACAGGGAAAAAACAGTGAACTGTGAAGAATCACTTCACCTTTCAGCAGCTGAAAACAATAGTCTTAATTCTGTCTCTGTTGCTACAATGTTTTAATGTAGTCTATTTTGATGTGCGTCGGGGGGATATGGGAGGTGGGTGGGGGTGATATGATGTTATATTATTTACCGCACTGATCCAGGTGCGAACTGACAAGTAGTTATTTGGTAACATTGACTGATTGCTGCCTGGTTTAATTGTGCAGCAACCACACTGTATTATTCATTGGCTGGCACTTTAAACTTGGTAATTACCAGCTGCTGGGACTCAGTGGGACTCCAGTGGTTGTGTCAAAAACAGCTCGCTCACTAACTTACCTGACACACATGCACGGAGGAAGCACTTTTTAAATATACTCGGGGTGTTGGTCTGCACCCATTCCTCCAAGTCAGTGATGCTGTATTGTTTATCTTTGGCACCGAACACACTCAGTATTTGTTTTGGGGAAAGTTAAATATGGCATGAAACTAGTAGCAGTTTGATCACACCTTCATTACACGAGAAATGCTTTTCAAAGGTTGATGTCAGGCTAACATGACACTTTGAAACATTTGAATAAATAAAGCAACATTCAAACCTTAAAGCGGCCCTATTAAGCTTTTGGGGTCTTCCCTTTCCTGTTATTTAAATGAAGGCTGTTTCGTTAAAATTGTTCAGACCAAATCACCAAGTTAGCATGGTTAGCAGCTACTTTGTGTGGTGTAAGGATTCACAGAGAATGGACTGCTGAGATATCCATGAATGGCACATCACCTGCCACGTCTCAAAGCTCTACTCGCAAAGAGTTTTGCACTGATGTTATTATGGTGCAAATGCGCCGAGAAAGCTGAGGGGTTTGGGCTTTTTTCATGTCTGAATACAACTTTGTGGCAACCGTAAATCTGTGTTATAGTCAAGAACAGAGTAAGCATAACAAGGGTAGTGAGGAAAGGATTCAATATCCCAGTCATTATGAATGCTTTCCCACCGACTCTCTAAATATGCAAATGTTCCTCTAAAAGCAACAACTACAGTGGAGGAAATAAGTATCTGATCCCTTTCAGATTGTAAGTTTACCCTCTTACAAATAAATGAACAGTCTATCATTTTAATGGTCGGTTTATATAAACAGTGAGAGTAAGAATATCAAAATGAAAATCCAGAAATTGACATTATATAAAAGATAACAATGTATTTGCATTTAACTGTGTGAAATAAGTATTGGATCCCCTTGCAACCAACAAGGAATCTGGCTCCCACAGACCGGTTACATAAGTCCTCGTCCTTTAGGAAAGTACCCCTCATATCAACTTGTTACCTGTATAAAAGACACCTGTCCACAGAGTCAACCAATCAGATTCCAACCTCTCCACCATGGGCAGGACTAAAGAGCTGTCTAAGGACCTCAGGGACAAGACTGTAGACCTGCACAAGGCTGGGATCGGCTACAAGACCATCAGAGAGCAGCTTGTTGAGAAGGAGACAACTGTTGGTGCCATTATTCAGGAATAGAAGAAAGATAGCATGAGCATCAGTCACCCTCGCTCTGGGGCTTTTCCATGCAGCTGTAAAGCCACAATCATTTGTGAAAGTTGAAAACTTACAGAACTGAGAAATGGGTGCGTCCAGCTGTGGAGTTGTGCCCCCCCTGGAGTTGAGTTTCTGGACCTGGGTGGGGGGCACTGGCTTGTGTGACTGTCCGGTGGCCCGGTACATGGCCTGCACCCACAGGATCCGGTCCTGCTCGTCATCACTGGCAAAGATCACAGTGTCGCCCTCTTTCACCGCGTTAAAGAACGTCCGGCCGCCATCCAGACCTGAAGATCAGAATCACAAATCCTTTATTAGTATAGATGGTTACAGCAAAAGTGGCATAGCAGGTAAAAAAAGCATGCAGTAACACAGAATAAGCTAACATATTAATACATAGGAGAAATGGATCGCACATTCCTGTTTGTAACTATTTATAAATGTCCAGAGGTGATGCTCTTTAATGTAAATGAATTGTTCAGTATTTATTATTTGAAGGTAGCCATAGGAAGTCTTCTACAAGCAGTATGCAACTGTCTATCAGCCTCCTGAGGACAAAGCCCTGTCCTACAATCACAGGGACACTTACAGGACTGCTTGAAGGATTCATTAAGTCAATGAGTCACTTGAATCACTTTATTGTTGTTTGGTCAGTGTGTCACTGTGAACGGCTGATATAAAGAGCAGGAGGCTGAATTGTGTACAATGAGTTTACTTCAAACCTCCAGCAGACAGAATCAGAAATATTACTTTTCTAATCACAAAGGTTAAATCAGAAAAGGCTTTCCTCTCTTAAAACACAGCATTGTCTGTTTCTGTGTTGATGTTGCCAATGTGGCAGTGAAGGTTGTACTGGAGCATCACACACTTATAGTCCGATCGTGGCACCTGTTGTGTGTTGGAATGACTGTGGGTGTAGGCTGTTACCTGGCTGGGGGTCGGTGTAGTCCACAGTGTAGCCATCGAGCTGCAGGAGCTCCACAGGCTCCGCCTTCTTCTCTCTGTAGCTGCACATGGCGAAGGTGTACTGACTCACCTGCACCAATCAGAGGGAGAGAAACGTTCAGGTGATCAATCAAATCAAATCATATCAGGGTTTATTTATAAAGCACATTTAAAAGCGATTTGTGTTGTACATGTAATAAAAATACTTCACTACAATCACAATAAAAGACAATAAATTACAACATATATATAAAAAAGGAGTCATGCTCCGCTCTGACTAGAAGGCCAGGGAGAAGAAGTGAGTCTTTAGTGAGGATTTGAAAACCCCTAGGGTCTGGGCCGACCTCACATGGAGGGGCAGAGTGTTCCAGAGCCTAGGGCCAGCTGCTGCGAATGCTCGGTACCCTCTGGTTTTGAGCCTGGTCTTGGGCACTACCAGCAGCAGCTGGTCAGCAGACCTTAAAGCTCTGCCTGGGGTGTAGCGATGGAGGAGTTCAGCTATATAGGCCGGAGCCAGCCCATTTAGGGCTTTGAAAACAAATAAAAGGAGTTTAAAATCAATTCGGAACCGAATTGGAAGCCAGTAGTGAGGCCAGAATTGGGGTGATGTGGTCACGCTTTTTGTGGCCAGTGAGAAGACGTGCAGCTGCGTTCTGCACTAGCTGCAGGCATCTGATTGAGGCCTGGTCCATACCCACATACAGAGCGTTGCAGTAATCCAGTCTTGAGGTTACGAAGGCATTAACCCTTTCTAGGTATCAGTCAGAAACCAAAGCCGTTACAATTCTAAACCCTGTCCTCAAGTAAGAACACCTCATCCTGAGAAACCATGTGAGCACCAAATGTCATAGCAACCGTTAGTTACGGTTTAAAGTGAGGTGGTGTAACTAAGTAACTAAGTAGATTTACTCAAGTACTGTACTGATGTTATATTTTGAGGTACTTTAGTTGAGTATTTCTATTTTATGCAACTTTGTACTTCTACTCCACTACAATTATTTAATACCTTTAGTTACTTTACAGATTTGGATTAATGAAGGAAATATAATCAATACTGCATCAACAGTGTGTGTGTGTGTGTGTGTGTGTGTGTGTGTGTGTGTGTGTGTGTGTGTGTGTGTGTGTGTGTGTGTGTGTGTGTGTAAAATGGGAATGCTAGTGCAGAGGAGAGAGACCAGATTTTCTGCTTCTTTAGTGAACATTCTAAGCTCTTGTGTGAATCAAGAGTTGCTCATTTGAGGGTTGAAAAGTAGGCTACTGCACATTAATGATTTAAAATGTGTGAAGCTACTTTCAATGACAGATCTTTGCAAGGCTCAGTTTTTCCATGCCAATATTCCATTCCAAGCTGCCAGCTTGATAGGCCAGAGTTATTTAAATGTCCTCTGTAAAAACGACATGTTGACATTAACACTTAACTAGCAGTTTGATTCACAGCAAAACACCTTTACATCTACAACATGGTGCATAGTTTGATTTGAAACTAGATGAATGAGGTCAACCACAGCCAGATGAAACTGAACATTCTCTGAATATGCATCAGGTCTTGACAAAGATTGAGGAATCATTTAATAACATCTGTTGATTGGTGCTTGTTTGCACGTCTTTTTTCACAGTGACTCCCCGGCCAGTCATCTAGTTTCCCTGTCAACAAAAACTCCACGGACATTTGAATTGAAGGGTCTCCTTTATTTTCTCAAAGGCTAGACTTATATTTTTAATGAGTACCCACTTCAGGAAAGCGTAATTGTTCTTTTGTGTTACCTGTCCTGGATGAATCCTGTTAATAAAAGGCCAGTACTGACCCTGGTTCAGGTCTTACTGCTCTCTGTGCTGGTAACAGGAAGTGTAGTGACACTCTGCTGCTACTGTAGCTGCCAGTCATAGCAGCCTGTCGTCACAGATCAGCAGGGCCGGCCAATCAGCCGCTGTTGCGCCTCTGCTGCTGCAAGTGGCAGCTCTCACTCTGCTGCAGCTGTGTGTGTGTGTGTGTGTGTGTGTGTGTGTGTGTGTGTGTGTGTGTGTGTGTGTGTGTGTGTGTGTGTGTGTGTGTGTGTGTGACAAATGAAATTCCCCACAACAGCCCTGATGAGACCTAAGGCCAAGTAAAGGATGGAGGGAAGTAGACCCATTCTCCAGCAGCTCCCTGGCCTCCAGGACACCGCAAAGGCAAATTAGAGTCTAAACTATACCAACCCCCCCACCACACATACCCCAAAACACCAGCTCTCGCGCTCTCGCGCTCTCTCTCTCTCTCTGTCTCTCTCTCTGTCTCTCTCTCTCTCTCTCTCTCTCTCTCTCTCTCTCCTTTAGTTTCACATCATTAGGGGAAGCATATGGACATGCGGAATGTCCTTATAAGCCACCAAAAACATTTACATATATATCCAACAAATAATGTATGCCATCTTTCTGTCTGTGTGTCTGCCTGTGTGTCTGTGTGCTTGTCTGTCTGTGTGTCTGTCTGTCTGTGTGTCTGTCTGTCTCTCTGTCTGTGTGTCTATCTGTCTGTCTGTCTGTCTGTCTGTCTGTCTGTCTGTCTGTCTGTCTGTCTGTCGCTCTGTCTACCTGTCTCTCTGTCTCTCTGTCTGTCTGCCTGTCGCTCTGTCTACCTGTCTCTCTGTCTCTCTGTCTGTCTGTCTGTCTGCCTGTAGTTATTGTAGCTGAAACGGCGATTTCTGAGAGATTTTAAATCTCAGATCTGCTCAACTCAACCTGTAAGACAGGTCTCAGTGGGTCACGCGCCTCAACCCTGCATTACAATAGGTAGGAACACTCTGCTGATTCCGCGAAGTGCAAAACTGCGTGAGTTAGTAAACCCTCAGCTAAAAATCATTTAAATAGCGCATTTAAAATCAGAATAACTCAGTGTGCATCCAGACTCGGTGAGGACACTATCTATACCAGTGACGTGCGGTGAGCTTCATGGCTGGTAAGGCACTGACTCTTTCAGAGTAAGATTTACAAATATTATATTTTGACCTTAATCAAAATATTCGGTTATTTTCAAAAGCTTTTTTAGTCTGATGCTTCGATTCATTTTAAACAGACCGTTCAACAAAAGGATACGCAAAATCGAAATATCGGATTGTTCTTTCTTAGTAAGATCCCATTTTCATTACAATTGTGGTCTTACCTTGACTTGAAGATTAAGTCCATGCTCTCCTTCTGGACAACAATCTATTCGTTTTTGTAAAAGTCCTCCTTATCTTCCTGTAGTTTCAAAAGTCTAGTTTGTTGTTTATGTCTACCGTCTCTGCGTAGAATAACAGTAGCAACAAGAACCTGTGGGCTCACGTGCCCCCCTTTCAGTGCGGCAGAGGTTTTGGCTGCCTCTCCTGCTGCTTTTTTCATTGCAGTTATATGATGAGACCAGCGAGCCTAAATATCATATATACGTTAAATAAGTTATTTAGAGACTATGGATGGCGAAGATAAATTTAATAAAGGGATCTACAAACATTACATTGGTGACCTACAGTGAGATGGTAACAGGCATGCGCTTAGGGCCCGCTTTCCAGCCAATTTCTGTGGGGTGACGCATTCTGAGGTGAGGCAGATCTCATCTGTGCCTCACCTCACCCCACAGTAACTGGCTTAAGCGCGCTCACAAAATAAGTGCCCGCGTTAAATTAGTGCCCGTGCTCCAGCAAGTTACTGTGGGCTTACGAGAGGCAGAGCTCGTCCCTGCCTCACTTCTCATCGCTATACCCGTAGTTGTAGCGGAGCTCGGCAAATTTGCTGATTTTGACTTTAAAAAGCGATTGGAATCATACATTAATCACACTTACATCATAGATCAGTGGAGACATTTTATTATTATTACTATTTAGTTTTTCTTTAGTTGTTTTTCCATTACATTGGAGTATGACAGGTGAGGCTCTGCCTCCCCTGACTGCACGTCGCTGATCTATACTGACTCAGCAGTCTCTGTAAGTTATATTCTTGTTTAAATAGACTTCTCTGTTTCATTTATTCTAC